GAGGCGTTCCTGTAAACAGTGCAATACTTTCTGTTAGTACTGACAGGACGGTCCTGTCAATAGCCACAGGCTTTCCTAATCTTCAAGCAGATCCCTCTCGGTGGCAAAAAGACAGTATCAAATTGGCCAGGCAGTATCCATTAGCCAGAGAAGGTCCGCGGCCACCGTTGGTGGGGGTCAGGACAAAAAAAAACCCGACCATATATAAAAATGTAACGATCATTCCCCCACAACCTCTGCTTGGAGAGTAAGGCTTTCCGAGATGATCTCGTATCGCATTTCCCCTGTTCAAGGCTGTTGCCGTATGAAAACAAGGTTGGGGATTGTACAATAATTAATAGGGGACAACTATTCCTGCAGAAAGGGTGGAATTTCATGGCAAAAAGACAATAGTTTCCAGGTTGTGATAAATCATAATTTGTTTTCCTGCACGTGATCTGTGGAGGAAGTTCGTCGACGAAATGAAAACTCTAATAGAGAACACTTTAATATATCTCAGCGTACCAGCAAAATTTGCAGGAAACAACATTTCAGAGGGTTACCTTTAGTCAAATCAAGTCAAGTTTATTGTGCAACAATTGCATTGGATACAATGTATGGGCAAATGACACTTAATAACTGTAAACTATTTCTACTAGTTTGTTTATAGGAAGGGATCAACATGTAGGCCAAACCATGTCCGGAATGGGGAGGTTACAAAAAAATAGCCTCTACCAGGCTTGGGGAGGCGGCTAGAAAGAGTAAGTAGAGCCAAATAGAGAGATAAGCATGCCAAGGGAGTTTGTCCGTTGAGAGAACATTTCGCCGCACCCCAATCATGACATTGTTAGTTATCCCGTTCAACACTACCGAACTAGTGACTACCGAACCTTGGCTGTAAGTAAGAAGAAGAACTTTATTGCACGACAATTGCACATGGTACAATGTATGGCAAACTACATAAGGAGAGTAACAACAATAAAATAAGTGTGTTGAATAAGACCTAATGTCGAATAAAACCTAACATATCTATATCATAATTATTCAAATAATAAGGGATATCACAAGTCTTTGATAAAGTGTTACAATCGAGTGGGCTAATCACAAGTTTCGGTATTTTTTCTAATAGCAAAGCATTCCTTTATATATCTACCTATTTTTGCGTTGTGGGGACCATTACATGTAAAGATATATTCAAATCTGTCTCCAACATCGAGACTCTTGAAATCTATGGTACTTGATTCGAGAAATGTAAATAGCTTGTTACGTATAACATCATATTTGGTACATTCCATAACAAAATGAAATTCATTTTCAATATGCTTTGGACAAAATGGACAGAACCTTTGGTCAGGGGCTATATTGCAATATCTACCTGTTTCAATATTCAATTTATGGCTACTGATTCTTAATTGAGTTATTGCTTTACGAATTTCAAAGTTATCTATATCACAAAGGTATGTTTCTTGAGTAATAACAGGTTACAAACGGTCTCCTTCCAGTGCGAACGGCTGTCATTACAGTAACACCCGGCCTCTATCAAAGAGAGGTACAGTGGTTGCAAGGTCAACTGTGTCCTTGAGGTGTAACTATATAGTAGGGATGTGGAACAACTTTGCGAAAACATGTCAGTCACAATATATATAGTGAGTTAGCGTACAAATTTCGGGGGGCCCTCCTTACACATAGACAAACTGTATTGCGAGAGAAAATGAGACAGTCTGACATATTTGTAATTTAAACATTAACTTACGCGTACGGTATGTGGGGTCGCAATCCATTCGTGGCAAGATTAGTGCCTAAAGCTGTCCAAATGTCATCATTAACACTACAAGCCATGTTCGTATGAAATTATCTTTTACAATTTTAATCACATGTAACAGATACTAGAGAAATGAAGTTGATTTCTGATGCAAAACTCTGGCCTGTTTCTTGATCGCGTCTTATCGTTTGCCACCGAATGATCTGCTTGGATATTATATAAATAGGCGCCATTCGTGTTGTAACGGGACTCCCCGAGTGCAATTAACCCCGAACCAGCCCGTTACAGAAGAGATGGCACCCATGCAGGCTAGATAGAAGAACAGGCCGCTTGTACCGTGAGCGCAGCGGACCTAGGGGGTTTGCGTATCACTATCAGCGCGCGAAGTGAAGATGAAGTCGCAATGTATAGTTGACTTGAAAAGCTTATATTATTGTATTAAGCACCATGTTTCACTTTACCTGAGGATGATTGTTGTACTTCACCATACCTTATACAAAAAAGGACATCTGTGCATAATGTCCTTGCTTATACTTACAGGTTTCCACGTATTCAAATATGCATTAAGGCAAGTGATAGTGGTATTCCTTGTAAGAGAGCAAAGATGGACGATTTATGTCTCCAGCAGTTACCAACATAAAATTGTACCGATTTTCCATTAATTATGCAAATTAGGTCTTCATTTACATAATCAATATCTGCCAATGATTTTGTTGCTCTCAATTACATATGTCACATATAAGTGTTTCATAGCCCTAATATAGAATACAGCAGATTTATAGAATTTCCACATTAATTATGAAAATTAGATCCTGATAATTGTAGTTTAATTGTGTCAAGCATCACTTAAGCTACCTACATACAAAAAATCACGACGAAATGGTTGTTTAGTTATCCTCTCTCGGAGATTTTTCAAACAAACCATCCTGCATTAAAAAAAAAAGGCTCACACAGCACATTTTCTGTATCTCTTCGTATTCCCGTCTTAAACAGTGAAAACGCAGTGGTACCGAATGGAAAATTCTTTGTGGACGTTCTCCGTGACCTCATTTCCCTTCGCCATAACCTCAGGCCAAGGTTGGCAGTCTGAGCGTACACCGATACTCCCTCAAGTACACAGGAGTATGTGGCCTTGAATCTGTGGCCTTGGCATGGCCAAATCAATGTACTGCCTCACGGGCTGATGAAGGAAATGTATAGTTATTTGTGTTCCATGTCTTTATTTTCATGCTTGTGTCAAATACTAGTCTAATAGTATATACCTTTACAATTATGATCACTTTTACCTCATCTAAACACCGTATCAGGTATAAACTGCAGATTGGACTGAAATGAACAGATGCCTTGGGTTAATAACAGAAGGGTAGCCTTGGTGCACAAAAGCCGATGTTATGCGAGCCATTACTTATGCAAATTGGATCTTTATTTACATAATTGATATCTGCCAAAGACCTTGTCGTTCTCACAGCAGATTTATAGAATTCTCTCGTTAATTATGCAAATTAGATCCTGATTTGCATAATTGTAATTTGATTATGTTGAGTATCACTTATGCTACCTACATACCGAAAATCATGACGATCCGTCAACCGGTTTCTTAGTTATCCTCTCTCAAAGATATTTAAACAAACCGTCCTGCAGTTCTAAAACAAGCTGCTAGGGGGCCCAAACTCATATGACTTCTTCCCGAACGCAAGAGCTATCTACCGTCCGTTCATGGCCCTTGCATGTCCAGATCGCGAAATATCAAGACATACAGATTTATAGAATTTCCTCATTAATTAAGCAAATTAGATCCTAATTGCATAATTGTAATTCAATTTTGTCAAGCAACACTTGAGCTAGACACATTTCATGGAGGTAACAATACACAGGATGAAGAGTTCGGTCGGCCCCTTAAGACAGATCAACATTGATCTAGGGCGCAAGGTTACTTTAAAATGACAAAAAAAAATGCTGTGCAACAGCCATCAATATGTAACAGTTACATTGTAAAGGTTTAAAAGCCGATACGTTTACGAACACACCGTAGAAAATTCCCTACCGTACCGCGACATAATATACATGTATATGCATGTTTATTTATTTGCATGTGGCAGAAAAATGTCTGGTCCATGATAGCGATATTTCTCATGAAAATAACGTATATGATTTATTTTCCCCTGCTGTCGGTTAGTAACAAAACGTCTAAAGAAGCAGAAATCACCCACAAAACCGGACGGGGAAGGGCTTATAATCGACGTAAAAAAATACATGGCGACAAAAAAATACCTGGTCCATTTTAGCGATATTTACCATGAAAATAACGACGTGGCTTATTTCTCCCCTGATGTGAGTTTTTAGGTCCCGAAACCTCTAAAAAAGCAGAAATTTGCCCACGAAAACGGACGGGCGAGGCGTGGGGAGGGCGCTGTTGACGACTGTATGACCCTCAAAAGGCCGAAGGTCATGGGGCACGTCCGATTTAGCTTACACTACAACGCAAACCTGTCTATATTAGCAACCGCTAATATTGCTATCTAGTTCGCTTTTTGGTTAGTGACTGAACAGGAATTTTTTCTCAGAAATACTATTCTTGAACAATAAACTTAATTTGCCAAAGAGTAGAATGGATTAATAAGTTGACGAATAAACTTGATTGGATTAAGTTCTCTATTCGGTGTATTTCGGTAAAGTTCGTGAGTTTTTCCGGAAACGGACGAACACGTCTTACGGTATTGCATGCTGGGTAAAAATCTTTCTCTTCCCTTCTGTCCGCCATCTTGGCGAAAGGTTGGTATGAATATTGCCGTCGAATCCTCTTAAATCCTCCAACTCTAGACACAATCGACGCATAAAAATGTGTTAACTTTATAAATAAAACCTGTGTTGTTATTTTCCGGGGTGTTTGGTTGGTGAATTTTGTTGTTCTGTGGAGAATCTGACCAAAAGTTTCGGCGAGGTCCCGGTACTGTTTTTAGCCTAGCTTAGGTGTACTTGCTCGTGTGTGTGGTACTTACGTGTACGATGGTCAAATAGTTTGTTATTCCGGGCAATTTCGGCAACTACGTGTGGCAGGTTGCAACATAAATTGAACGTCAGAATATTTTTACGGGCTGCCCCTTGTTTTTACTCCTCGGCGATATGTTACTCGGAGAGGTTTTAAACTTCGTAGCCATGATGGAAGCCATGCGTTTGGGCCCCTAACTTAGTGGGGAGGGTTATCTGCACTTTGGCATCTTATTATAAAACATGAAGCTTTTCTTAAGAAAGAATACACCGTGTTAAGGCTGTGTCTACGTGATTTGCAGGATTCACATTATTCCTCTTCCATGTTCCAGAATCGTCATTTTTTGCTAAATTATTATTACTACATGTTGTACATTTTGTACTAGTAACTTGCTTACACTGCTGTTGCCTTTTTTCAACAGTTAAAAATTTAATCAAAATCCTGTCATCCATCAAATAAATTAATGAATGCCAGATACGAATTAGAGAAATTCATGTATACATGTATGTACCTTGTCACGGGTGTACCTGACGTAAAGATACCAAAAATAATATACTTTTTATTTGTTCTAGCTTCAAGATGGGTGCGTACAAGTATGTACAAGAATTATGGCGGAAGAAGCAGTCGGACGTGATGCGGTTTCTTCTCCGCGTCCGCTGCTGGCAGTACCGGAACCTGTCAGCGATCCATCGCGCCCCCCGCCCCACACGCCCGGAGAAGGCCCACAGGCTGGGATACAAGGCCAAGCAAGGTACAGTCAAATTTTAGTAATGTGTAGCGTATACACTTGCATGGTGTCAATCTATGATATAATTTATTGAATGTGAACTGAGAGATCTTTTTTGGTGTCCAGTGAAACCTGTACAAGTGACCACTTCTGCATAAGGACCACCTGGCCAATGCGACCACTATTTTCTGTATCTGCATAGCCAGTGTAACCGCCCTTCGGCAAAACACACCAGCTTTTTTTTGGGTCCCTTAGACATTTCCCATTGACACGAGCATTAAGAACCCTGTCAAGTGACCACTTGTCCGCAGAGACAAAAAAAACGGCCATTTACAAAAAGCTAAGGATCATTTCCCCACAACCTCTGCTTGGAGAGTTCACAGAGACCAGATTCTATCAGTACCCTCATAAGTGTTCTTGGGCAGTTTTGACTGTATCTATTTATCTATCATTCAAAAAGAATAGTAGATGGTTGGTTTGACTATACATAACTTTCTGTGTGGAACTTGTTGCAGGGTACGTTATCTACCGTGTGCGTCTGCGCCGTGGTGGCCGTAAGAAGCCCGTGCCCAAGGGAGCCACGTACGGAAAGCCTGTCCACCAGGGAGTCAACCAAATGAAGTTTGCCAGGAACCTTCGATCTGTTGCTGAGGTAAGTCAGATTTCAATCATACACATCTTAGCTATTACTTCTCAATTGTCTCTCGAAAGACAAATGCCAAAGGAAATCGCTAGTGTTCATTCCTTTCTTTGCCCTGAAATAAGTCATTATGGTTAGGACTGGAACATGTTTACACTGGGTATTTTTATTTGTGCTGTTTCTCTCTTGTATGTTACCACTCTGTATGAGCAGCAAAGGTGAATGATGAACCATTATTCTTTCCCCATCTTATCGACAAATGCAGAAGCTTGTCTACTCAAGCCAATCCAAATCTGACACCTGCTGCTATACAGTATACTGTACTGTAAATTAAGTATACAGTCAGAAATGTGTAGCATGTTTCATCAATAAGGTAGTTAACAGGGAATTATTGGGGTAGTTAAAAACCACTGGATTTCTCTTGATGGCAGGTTAACATTATTTTTTACAATTTTAATTGTCCTACATTAACTGAAAAGTAATAGTCGAGTCTGTTGCTGTTTTCAAAATGCAAATAGATGAATTTCTTGGGAATCGTATATTAGATACCCTCATCTTTGGGTAGACTCTCCTTGTCTTTGAATTTCTTGTCAAACTAAATCATGACATTTTTTCCCTGCGTACCTGTAGGAGAGAGTTGGCCGTGCGTGTGGTGCCCTGCGTGTGATGAACAGCTACTGGGTGGGCCAGGACTCAACCTATAAATTCTTTGAGGTTATCTTGGTGGATCCATTCCATAAAGTAAGTATCATTGGACTATCCATATCCTCACTTCACTTTAAAGGCACCCAAAGCAGTTTCAGGACAGTAAAACTTGATCTTCAAAGTCTATTTTCTGGTCATTTTTTAATGTGGTAAGTTGTATCAATCCTATCCCATAGCATACTGGTATCTGTGAGGCAAAGATGTATTGTCTCTGATATAAAACAATTGCTTGTTTCGTATCGTAGGTTGGTTTTAGCTTTTTCTTAGTGGTACCTAAATATATTAAGGGTCTCCTCGTGCATCTTATTTCTGGCCTTTTTCAAACACTTCATGTATGAAATTTTGACGAAAATGTGCTTTAAAATGTCAATATCAGACAGATTTCCGTGTCCAGAATATGTATTTCTTCGCTGTCCAGAAATTGCATTAGAATTTAGATGCCTTAAAAATGATTCTTTGCATTAACTTCAGTAATCTCCTGCATGTATCCCCTGGGGTTTGTATTGACCGGTGCCCTTTTGTCTGTTTCCCCCCAGACTGTACGTCACGACCCAGAAGTCCAGTGGATCTGCAAGCCGGTGATGAAGCACCGCGAGCTGCGCGGCCTGACGTCGGCCGGCAAGAGTTCCCGCGGCCTGGGCAAGGGGCACTTCCACCACAAGACAAAGGGCGGGTCCTGGAGGGCCTCGTGGAAGCGGCGCAACACCCTGTCGCTCCGCCGATACCGCTAGAATTGAACACCAACCAGATTGTATTATCTGTAACATTTTGGGTGAACTATTAAAGATGCACCTTCATACTGAGGTCCTGTGTTTGAGTCTTTATTAATATTAATATCAGTGTATGTTCATGTATTACAAACAAGTACTTGAATGTATCCTACTTTTAGCATTGTCATATACATGTATTTTACATATTTGATTGTCCTAAACAGTAGCTCTAAGTTTCATTATGGTATATGCCTTGTACATACATGGTGTACTAATAATCATCTTTGGGTGGATATCATGACTACAAACATTAGATCATTCTACATCAATCATTGCATAGAATTTACCAGGATAACTAAACTCTCCCAACACTTAATACATTTGATTACTTGAGTACATAAATCTACTAGTATAAGCTTAAGTTAAAAACCTTAGAGTTGAATTCTACATCAGGCATGGGTCTATTCTAGTTCAATTTAAATCAAACAGCAAGAGCTTTATTAGTCCTGGAGATCTTGGAGACAAAGCAAAAATACATGTAAATAGATTTCCCTTCTTCACATAAAATGTCACGATTCATTTACTTAACAAATTTTGCTCGCCGGCGCATTTTCTCCATCTTGTACTTGGTCAGAATCTTTTTCCCGTCGGCGTTTTCCACGTGGCACTTCTGTCCCAGTTGATAGAACATCTCACTGAAGGCTGTGACTTCAGCACAGTTTCCTCGACACCACTTGTTGCCAGTGCCCTCTAGCGGAGTGGCTTTGTACTGCACGTACCCAGCATCGTTGTCGTGTGAGGGAAACATGTCCTTGCATTGACTACAGGGGGGAACTTGCTTCACTACAGGAAGTTTCAACTCGGGAAATAGGTGGAACTGGAGCTGGAAGGCTCGACAAGACAGATTCGGTGGATTCACAGGCACAACTCTAATCTCACTTAATTCTTTACCTTCCTGTGTTTGGTCAAGACTAAGGAGCACTGGCAGAGACACGATTGGATGCCAGAACCAGCGAGCTGCATATTTGATATATATTTCCCTTAAATGTTTGGGGAGGGGCACACTTCCACCCCAGGTTTTCTTTATAACCTTGTTACCGCGTCGCTCTTCAACACAACATAACGTGACGGACAGAAAACCACTGTACTTGTACTTCGGCCACTTCCTGTTGTGATTACACTGGATGAGTCGGCGATTAAAATCACGGAAAAACTCTAGTATAGTGGAATCTGGTAGTCCCAGGTTAGATATCTGAAAGAAAACCAGAGGTACTTTTTTAGGCTTCAGCTAGTGCTAGAGCTAGTTTGATCATGTGTATACAATATATTAAGCTATTCCTTTTGTCTTGACCTATACTTAACCCAGTAATAGTGGGCATGTTACGTTAACGTTAGATACATCAAAGGTCTTGAGCTTCAGTCATTACTTTTCTAAAGCTATCTCCACTATGGTTATATAAAACAACCAATTCACCTGTTTTAAATGTATACTTATCTTTATCCATGTATGTGACGTTGACTAACCTCGTTCAGCAGTATAGTCGCAGGCGGTAGGGGATGTGGGCACACAAAACGCTGCTTTTTAGCCTGGCTGCGAAGTTCAGGACGCTGCTTGAAGATAGTGAGGTTGTCCAATTTCACCCTCTTGTCCTGCTGAGTCCAGTGCCATAGACTGTTCGTCACCTGCAATAAGCTCGGTTTGTGTGATACGGAAGGGCGTAATGGCCAGTTATGACAATTTTTTACGGCGAAAATCGACGACGTTGATATTGATTGTACCCCATTGTATCTTTTTGCCCTCCGGTCCCCATATTCAAAGTCCGCACCCACCTAGTTGGTTAACTTTTACTATTCATCGCATTCGTGAAAACCAGATTCATTCGAGTAACAAGGCTATACCCTCACACACGCACGCACACACACACACAAAGACGCACACACACACCAGTATTTTGCCAATCTAAACTCTTTCCACCCGCTTCCGAAGCCTGGTAGAGGCTAGGAAAATTTGCCAACGATTATTTTCAGTACCTTTCTGTGACAAGCGTCTAGGCGTTTTGTAGCTTCGCCCTGTAAAAGACCCGCCTCTTCGTACAACTTTGGTAGCCTGCTGGACACTGCAAAGTCTATAAAGACGTTTAAAAACTTGTTACAACTCCACTCAACAAAACGCGCCCGCTTTTCTTCACCCACCATTTCTTACTGTAACTTCCGAGATTCTCACTAGTTTACCGGTACATACGCACTGTAACCTGTGCCAATGTATTAGTCATAGTTTCGAGTACGTCAGAAAGTCAACAGGAAGATAGCAGGGCGTGACGCTTGTCTTTTGTTTAGCCATCATTACCGAAACTTACGGGATAACATGGCTATTGTGTGAAGACATTTGTATTAGGCTTAAGGTCATTGCTTACGACAAACGTTTCATGAGTCACGCCTTTGATTTTACAGGTAATCCCTCTTTGCTGTGCCATACAGTGACAGCTTTAATTTAGGACAGCCAGCGGATCATACTACTACGACATCTTCTCTCTTTAAAACCTACAACAGCAGTCGGGTCTGCAGGCCATAGCCCTGTGTGAAATATGTCACGACAAAACATCGGAGGATTTACAAGGTCTTGTATATAGGGATCTAACGGCTTTTGTTTTTATTTTACCTAGAAAAATGGATACAGACTATTTCTTGTATTTTATGTCTTTATTTGTTTATTATTTTGATTCCTCACAAGTATACAAATGTAAGAATGGGCTTAACAAATATATACACCTTTACATTTGCCCTCCCATATCAAATACGTTGTACTGTAAAATAGTTATTTATGGTTGGAGAAAAAGACTAACATCCATGTATAGTATATGTAGTTATTTCATGAAAATATGTAGCTTATGTCGTATATATAAATATCATACAAATGACTAGTCTTTGAAGTTTTACTTCATATTTTCCATGTACAGTCCACAAAAGTCTTAGTGTTAGTCATCAGTTTCACAGATTCCATAACTACAAACGAGTAGCATCAATTAGGCGTTAAAATTTATTGTTTAACATAGAAGATGGGTCTTCAAAACTAAACATAGGTCACGAAGTCCATGAACGATTAATTAGTAATATATTTTCGTGAGAAAATTGTGCATTTCTATTAATTTAAAAACGTATTCTTAAGTTTCTTGGATATATGCTACCATTGGACCCTTACCTATTTATTTACTGGACAAGTTTTGCTTGAGTCATCCTGTCCATCTTGTACTTGGCAAGAACCTTCTCCGCGTTCCCGTTAACCACGCGACACTTTTGCTTCAGTAATTTGAACATTTCGCCGAAAGCAGCGACCTCAGCACAGTTTCCTCTGCACCAATTGGGACTAGCGTCATCTGGCGGAGTAAATGTGTACCGCACATACCCACGGCCATCCTCCTCTGCAGATTCACCTGCCGTTTGGTCGTGTGAAGGGAACATGTCCATGCAGTGACTACAAGGAGGGACCATTCTTACTCCCGGTAGATCGCCATCAACGTCGGGTCGGAAATGAAAGGCTCGGCAAGACAGAATGGGCGGATTTGAAGGCCTTACTCTCACCTTATCCAAAGCCTTACCTTCCTCTGTTTGATCGAGACTTATGAGCACTGGTAGAGAAACTATCGGATGCCAAAGCCAACGAGCCGCCCATTTGATATAAACGTCGCGTAAGTGTTTTGGGAGAGGCGCGCTGCCGCCCCAGGTTTTCTTCAGGACTTTGTTTCCGAGCTTCTGTTCCACGCAGCACAGAGTGACGGTCAGGAAGGCGCTGTACTTAAGATTCCCGTACTGATCCCTGCCGGTCAGCAGGCGGTTGAAGTCTCGGAAAAACTCCAGAATGATGTAGTCTGGAGGCTCCAAGTGAGAAATCTGTAAGAGAGTCATAATTTTAAAGATTCATGTTCTAACTTTGGATGTAACATAACGACCGAAAAAACTACAAAAGTCAAACATGTTTTCGACCGAAGCTTAATAATTTAAAGTTTAGGTTTAGCCTTCATTGTACATGTAATCCCGTACTTTGTGCGTGCGTGTTTTCTCTCTCTCTCTCTCTCTCTCTCTCTCTCTCTCTCTCTCTCTCTCTATCTCTATCTCTATCTCTTTCTGCCCCTGTGTGTGTGTGTGCGTGCGTGTATACATATGTGCATCGTACAGTGCATACAATATTACATAGTTACGTTCTAACCTCATTCAGCAGTATTATGCCGGGCGGTAGGGGGCGCGGGCACACATACCGCTGACGTTGCGCCCTCTTACGCAGATCAGGACGACGCTGTAGGAAGTGGATGTTGTTCAGGTCCACTCGTCTGTCCTGCTGGATCCAGTGCCACATACTGTCCAGCACCTGTATAGTTGACGTCATGTCGATATTGTTAAGACGAATACTTTTCATTAAGGTACAGAGCTTTTTCATATGTAGCCGCAAGTTTCAACACTCAATCAGAAACCCACAAAACGCATCTAACCTCTACCAGGGTTTGGAAACGGTTGAAAAGAGTACAAATTGATCAAATAGACAGATAACACGCCAGGGGAGTTGGTTCGCTACAGGGGAGTACAGTTTACCAGTGTGTATCGCTTTGGCAGACCAACAGTTACGGGTACTCACCGCCTGCTTTCGGTGGCGGACAGGGAGTAGCGTCCCTGCCCATTGAGGAGCTGTAGACCTCACTGGCATACACACACAAAACTTGAACGAGCGACCACCCCATCCAATATACCCCCACCCCCACCGTGCCGGAGCCCTAAAACAATTGAGGTTTGCACGAACTGGGAAGAAGAAGAAGACCAAGGACCAACTCCTGGCGTGTTATCTGTCTATTTGGACAATTTCTACTCTTTCCAGCCGCTTTGCCTTGTAGAGTCCCAGTCTACTGTTTTTATAACGTAAAATATGATCAGCTGCTTTGCCTATTTAGCACTACTCGTCACTGTGCACCTATGTCGCAGTTGGAGATATGTATCTTACACAAACATACCTTTTCGCGACACGTAACTATGCGTCTCGCAGCCTTGTCCCAGGAAAGTCGTCCATAGTACAGACTCCAAAGCCTGGGAACTCCAAAGTACCAGAAAACGTCTATAAAGACGTTACAACTCCACTCAACGAAGCGCGCCTGCTTTTCTTCCTCCATTTTTCTTTTGACTATTGAAACGAGACCCGCCTGTTTACCCGTAACGTATAACCTGCGCCTTTTGAATGTGCGCGTCATAGTTTCACTTCCTCTTGAAGGTTGCTTTTGTCAGCTTGGGTTCTTTGTGGTTTGGGGTTTATTGCCAAGTACGTCAGAAGCCAGCACGGTGAAGGAACACGTACGTGCACAGTGTGGTTGACTCAGATCTTCCCTTTGTTTAAACGTTGTTACTTTAGGGTATATATACATAGCTTTTATTCAAATTCTACGTTAAAGGTCATTGATTACGAACTTGGAGGTTTTCTGACTCACGCCTCTGATCTACAGATAAAGCACCTTGTGCGTATGTCTTATTCCAGACATCTTTGGACTAGGAGTGGCTCTTAACTACACCTATACAATGCAGTTCCCATGCCTATATAGCCTATCGCATTTTTGCCTCACAAATATCAGTATGTTATTGGATAAGGATGATTCAACTAGATACCAGAAAATGGACTTTGAAAATCCAGTTTATACTGAAATCGCGTTGGGCATCCACAAGGAATAAAAATGTCTGCAATGTTTGTAACTTGTTGTACAACGTGTAAACACGACCTTGCTGTGTAGCAGGGTTTAAAAAAATACATGTCACTCAGAAATGTGGAGGGCGTAATCCATAAATACACAAACGACGTCAAACCCGATCACCTGGAGTAAGGTGCAGTTATCCGTCTAACCGTAAGGGGTCGCTTCCAAAGTAACCAACGGTGCGAATATTCGGCAGTCCCAGACGGACTGATAATGTATTTATTATGTGGACAAGCGTGCCGTTCGATATGAGCTGTTGTTCTACTGGTAACTGTTACAGTTAATTCATACCTTCCTCCGCGATTCTTAGCGGACCGTCCCTTGTCCCAGAATTTCTCGGCAATTTGTAAGTCAACATTGGCACCGATTTGGTAGTTGCGAAATTAATACATGTACAACAAAGCACACCCAGCGCTACATTTAACACATCAAATGCAAATATTTTCTGAAGTATTTGATTAAGCCATTTGTTTTTATTGTGTTTTATTGTTTCCTCTTCGAGGTCAAAATGGGCTATCCACTATTTTCCACAAATACAGAATTTTTTGTTGTTAACATGTTGCCAAAAGGTTATGTATTATTTGCCTATATTATGGCGGTTTTATGCTTGCCGATATTCAAAGAGAAAGCAAACTACCACAAACTACCACACAAGGGAACAACATGCCCTAGTCATTGAGTTACATGTACATGTTACTATGATTGACAAGCTGACTCTCAATTTTGACATTGATTAAGATGAATTCCGTGTCAATTTTCCAGACGTGACACGCAGTACATGTAGTGCCTGCTTTTGGGACATGAATCGTGACCCGAGTCAAAAGAAGTGGCTCTTCAACTGTCATCAAATGAGAAATGCCCTGCAATATACATGGAGTTAAAAACCCGTGCGCGACGTAGAGAGTAGCCTGTCGATTGGTTTAGAGCACAGTGACGTCACAGCTCTCCAACCTTAAAATCTTCAAACCTCCTTGCTTTGCACATGTATCTCTCCAGGCAGATATAGAGAGGATTTGAGAGGAAAAAATATGTAACTTCCTCTAATTTTTTCCGTTTTAATGAAAGACAACCAAGCTCTAGGAATGTTATACTTCCCAAAACAGAAGAAAGTAGCGAATATTAATATCCCCAATTCCTCCCGTACCTTCCTTCCTACCCGTACCTTCACCTGTCAATTTCATATACTCTCCAAGCAGAGGTTTGGGTTTGGTGTTATTTTTGGCGTGTCTTTCTCTTGTGCACTGGAATTTTTTTTCACCCAACCAAGTGCAAAAGAGAAACCCCAATAAAAAAGCCTAAAACACGCCAAAAATAATCCCAAACCTCTGCTTGGAGAGTACATTTCATATACTAGCAGCCTAGCACTAGTAGCAGGATAGCCCATGTCCGGCGGGGGTGGCTCCGCTATCGGGAACGGCGTACATGCTTACCTTCTTGTCACAGTTATACAATTATTCCCATTCATTAGGGGCATTATCCCTCGCGCCGGACCGGGAGTGCTTACAATAGCTTTTCATTCGCAGAGGCTCTCGCAACACTGGCCATTGTTACCTGCCTTTTAGTCCCGTTTTGATATAGCACATTGGACAGCACTTGGCTTGTCACAAAGTACGTAGGGGATCAGCGCACATGAAATGATATTGATGATATCATTTACTTTCTACAGATAGACAAAGAGTGACACTGGTCGTAGCAATCATTTACTCATATAGACACTATACCGAAAGCTTTCAGAAAATTTAAACTTAAAATTTAATTTTAGTACTGTGATTAAAAACCGTGAAATATTCAGTAAGCACCATTACACATGTAAGAATATACAGTGAGAATGGCTGTCAATCATAATGGTTATGATATAACGTTACATAACCTACGGACGTGTATGATTATAATCGTAACTTATTTTTTATCCCTTTGATATACTATGATTCAAAGGAATTATCAGGTATGTTTTCTCAGCGGCACTACCGACACTTGAAGTATTATCGAGTCTCCTTGAATAACGCTGCCAAGAAAAACACCATGGATTTGAGTGTTACCATGATTATACTCTTGATGATGCAATTCTAAAATGCACATCGTACATGTGAATGTAACTCGCCATATGTGAAATGTCTACGATTCTTTTGCCAGAAAAATCGAGTTTTTAGGTATCCTATGACAGGGTTTGATAGCAGACAGCAGTTATGGTAATTATATGGTAATTTTGTGATTGGCTTATTCCACGCGGAATTGTGAGCGGTCAGTTCACTTCCTTACTGCGTGTGTGGGAGAGAGAGCCAGCGTGTCGGACCTCAAGTCAACACCGATAGAGTTAGAGGCGTTTCGGGGGGACAGTTTTGCTAACAGCGGTGATCTGAGTGCCACCAGTGGTCAAGTGGCAGCGTTAGAGCTATCTGGGTAGTGGTTGGAGGATTTGGAACGATCAGTGGTGGGAAATAAAGGGAAGATGTCGGCGGCAGAGAGACCCTCTACGTCCGCTGCCTCCACCGAGCGCACCGCCGGGGATCGAGACCGGGAGCGAAGTTCCCAAAAGGACAACAACATGAAGTTCTTGAAACAGAACGGCCGATCCCTCAGCACCAGTGCCAAGAGGTAACGTTTTTTTCTTCCTAGAGGGACTCCAAGAGAGACTGTGTCGTATGGAAAACATTTGGGAGAAATCTCTTTACGCCAATTAAAGGGCCCATCCGACTCTTAGCGGGGAAGACTTCAGCGCTGGTAAAGGGAGGGTGGTGGTGGGAGCTAGGTGTAACACGGTGTTTTGTTTTGTTGAAGGGGACGGAAAGTGTTTTGTGAAGACAAAAGAAGACGAAAACGCCGTCCCCTTGGCCCTTGCCCTCCCCATGTGCCGCCACTATCGATTCATCATGTCGATATTTGAAAAGTCTACTCAGCGGGTAATTCCATGCCTGCCTCATTTGCATATAAGCTAAAATCGCCGAATTCTCGCTTAAAACCGCAGAAAACCCGCCAACTGGGGCATCGTGTAAAAGCTAGCGGGATGTACTTTAGGATTATTTGTACCTTGCGGGGATAGCGAGTGTGTGGAGGGAGTAGGGAGGGATGAAATGTTGGGGCGCCGGCCAATGTGCAGACGGCGGCCATGTTGGCAGGACCGAGAGCGGCTCAATCAGCGATTCACTTTAATTCCGTCTCACGTCACGAAAAAAAAAAAAAACAACACCAAACTGTTTCTTCTTCTTCTTCTTCCCTCTTCTAGGATCCAGAGAGAACTCGCCGAGATCACACTCGACCCACCCCCCAATTGCAGGTAAATCACTAATAAACCATAAAAAAAGGTGGAAGGTAAATTTGAATGTGCAGGCCCAATCGATCACAATGGGTGTTTGGAGAGGTTTTTACAGATAGAGTTCTTGAGTCAACAGGATGGCAACTGTGGGTACTGGTGATGGGAAAGGAAACATTTGTGCCAAATACACACATTTCTACACTCCCCACATCTCACCAACTGGCAAATAAAGGACAGGCAAGGACAAGGTATTAATTAGAGGGATTAGTTACTACATGTACATTAGGCCCTATACAGGTTAGGGCATGAGTTCATTTCGCAGTCTTAAGGAGGAATTGAGGATTCCAGCAAGGGCTTTCGCTAACGTCTGACAATTGTAGGAATTTTGCTGCCCATGGTGGTCATAACTCCCAACATGCTGAATTTAAAATGCAAAAACCAGGTACATTGTCAATATGGAAAATATTAAGATTTCAAATTTAACCACAATGGAGGTGTAAAACGTAAAATTGGGATTTTAGAAAAAAGTTAGTTTTTACAGAAAATACTAAGAGATGCCATTTAGTCAGAATTCCACAGTGTACCTTATTTAATGTTATGTACCATCTGCAAACATTGTTAACAATACACTCAATTATTCAATCTGGTTTTGATAACCTCCTTCACCATATTCTCAGACATCTTGAAGTGGTATAGCCTGGTTACCAAACCTAATTTAGCTGCAGAGTCTCTTTTGTCCTAATTGCAGAGAGGGTGAAAGAGACTTGGCAGCTACATTAGGTTCGGTAACCAGGCTAGCACTAGCAGCGCCAACATTTTCTTTTTTTGGGGGGGGGGGGCACTGATACGCAATTTTTCACATGGGCTAAGGTTCTCTATTCGACAAAGGGAACTTCCTCCATGGCATAACTCCCTTTGTCTCATTAAAGAACCGTAGAGAATAGACCTATTCCAGCACTCCCGTCCCCCCCAAAAAATTAATGCCATGAAGGAGGCTAGGTTTTAAGGTGGTGACCCCTCGACAAACTCAGGTGGTAAATACGTATATTTCTTGCATTGACTGTTTAAAAGTCAATTACACTTTCACTTCATGAACCAGACCTTCCAATGAAGGACAGTGTTAACTACTACACCTGGCAGTGTTATTCTACTACTAAACCAGAACACATGTTTGGAATGGCCCCATGCAAAAATTAACAGCCACACCACCATCTTGAAAGCCTCAATTTATGATGATTGTTACTTCTGGTATAGTCCAAATTGTTGCACTGAATACAATTAATCTTATGCATAAACATACATATGTATGAAATAGCAAAATACTATGATAATAATGCCTCATGGTCAATCTAATCTATATAACTACAGTGTCGCTACTCTTTCACCCTAAGTGACAGAAGGGTCTCTTCCAACTGTGTGGATGATTTATAATAGGCAACATTTCTCGGGTATGTGATTCCACCCATACTCAAAGGGTCACTAATACAGACTGTTCTTAGCTTGCCGTGAAGTGTTAATCCATGAGAGGGTCCCTTTAGTGCAGGTCTAGCTTGTGAAGTGGACAGTCCTCTAATCTGTGTGGTCCTGTGTAATCCCGTGGTAGTTTAACAACCTCAGGCATTGCATTTTATGAAGAATAGGATTTAAAACCATTTCCAATTTTGGATATAGGATTCTTTTTTACACAACAAAATTTGTCTCACCTTGCTTACGTTTTGGTGTCAGTCAGACACCCTCCTCAGAGCTTCTGACTGGAGTTCTGTTTCCTGCCGCTATATGTAGCCGATGTAGGTGGCGCTTTTATGATAACACAATCCCATACATGGCTGAGTTTGTACCCCCCCCCCCCATCATCCCGGTTCATCACCGGGGTCGATTTCCTTTTCCAGACTGCTTCTTTAATCTATCGGAGGAAGGTGTCTGACAGTAAGGTGAGACAAGATTGGTTGTGTACAAGAAAACTCCTATATCCTATAGTATAAGTGAACCAACCTGACTGATGAAACTATTTTTGGCATCTCCAATTTAGTAGTGGTGGAACAAATATCTAGCTTTTGTGTCCTTGAAAATGGTCACAAGGGTAAGATAGTGCAGACTGAAGTAAGAGTATGCAGTGTGCTTTCCCTGAAACTGTATCTGTTTTGTTTTTTCACCCAGTGTTCTAGCCAGTTCTTACCGCTAATAACAGAAAAATTTTGCCCAATCCATCATCTTTGATGGGCAATAATCAGTGTGTAAAGATGTAGAAAGAGATGTCGTAAGATTAAGCTTAGTTTACTGGCAAAATTCGCCTCTCAAAATGCAGAATATATCCTGCGTTTCATTAGCCTGGGAGTCATCCGTTTTTTCGGGGTAGTGAGTACTAGGAGCCCCATTACAAAGCGTATAGCACCCAGGCTAGCATTTCATATATAGAGTGAAAATTTCAAAGCTTTTCACAGGGGCATGCCCAAAGACTCCTGTAGAATTGTACGCCTCACAACTTCAACATGATGTCATATCAGACAAAATTAAGATTTCAAACGGGCCTAAGCTATAGGACACTGATTTCACCTATGAGAAGACAGCATTTTACACACTTCTCCAAGCTTATCAAGAGAAGAAACATTTAAAACCAGCACCATGTGATGGGAAGAGTAAATAAATCACATCAGCATGTTGTACTGACATTCAGTGTTGATATGTCATTGCGAACCAAGTTCTGACCCCCTCCCAGATCATTGGTGGACAGTCCCTGGTTAAGTCCCTGGGCTTTTTCCAACACAACCATTTCCTTATATACTCAGATAAATTGTCTGCCATCACACAGACTATAGACTTGAATGCACAGAACTACATAGACTATAGTGAAGCTTGATGGTACGCACGCGAGCCTACGAAAACTGCGTATGTCAAATTTTACCTGTGTGTAAATGAGCCTGTTTTGACGTATGTCCAGATCGTACACCAGCCCTCAAGGTAACATACAATTAGAAGGTATATAGTAGAGGGGATTCATTCCTCAAGCTAACCGACATCTCGCACACACAGTCGTCCCTCAGTAAGACACCTGGAGCCGCACAGTTCCCGTTTAGAACTTTTATTCAGTCCTTCACATACAATTTGACGGTACATACTTGATGTACATTGTATATACGTGTACCACCATACACAGCATAGAGTCCACCTGAAGTAGTGAATTAGCAAAGTTGTTATGATATATATTACATGAGACATTTTATCAACCATACATAATAGACAACACAACATAACTGATTATACTGAGTGGACCGTATGACCATACATTTTCTATAACTTGTACCATACATAAATTGTGCTTCCTGCGTCAACATATAGTAGTATGTCAGATTTTTAATCAATAGATGGTAGTCTTGTACATTCACAGGGGAAAATGCCGGTATTACAACATTATACTGCATTTTTATGACGTTGTGGGGTTTTCCAGTATTCCTACTAGTATGCAAAATATGTTGTTACCAGTAACTTGTCATACAACAGGTAAGCTCAGAACCCCCATGTGAAGCCTCAGAATGTCTGGAATCTCCATTCCAGCTACTGGCAGCCAATCACAGATGGTCTCTGCCGAACCTGCGCATGTGATTTGCATAATAACACTGTGCAGACCAGGTGTCCAGATTACAGAAGTCCATGGATCAAGTGTAAAGCCTTTGTTGCTTTTCCATTGCCTGAATGTGATGATTACATTTAGTAAGAATTTACCACAGACCCAGAGGTCGCTTTCCTTGTCAGTTTCTTAATCCTTTTGCCACCTGGGATCTTAGATTAGCAAATGTAGGGTATAAGATTTTGCGATACTGTGTACCAGCTAACTCCTGTCTTTACCTGTGATAACTCCTGTGATCTGATACTGTGATAGTGATGAGAACTTTGATCGACTTGGCTATGAGTTTTGAAGATAAACAGTAGATTGGCACAAAGTACACTTTGAAATTCAATGCAAGGCTCATGCCTGTCATCTACATGGATGCTTTACTGGTTTTGTAAGTCATGGTTCATGCTTACATTAAAAGAGCAAAGGAATTTCCCCCAAACCATTGCAGTACATTGAACCTGTAGGGCGTCAAATACTTTTTTTCTGTCAGTTTTGGTAGTTAGCATTACGATAATAGAATAGAAGCTTTATTGAGGCAACAAAAACTACAGTGATTTTCATAAGGTCATGAGGTTCAATCACATCTTAACTTTACTAGATGTAAGATTCTTAGCCTCCTGCACAGGCCTCTGAGCAGCCTGTGTAAAACTGGCTTCCATAAAATTGTAAACGTATTCTGCTGATCATCGTACCACCAGCAAGCGAACATAGGACAAACCACCTTACCCATGTATGACAAAATAGCACCAATGGATGACATAAATGGATAGTGCTACATGTTTTCTTGAAACCTCAAACGAATTACTGAAACATCCCCAATAACTAAGCAAGCAGAGGACCTACAGCCAGGCCTGATTAGTCTGTTTTTGTTGCCCTCCCAGGTTTTCTTTTCCCTTGTTTATTTAGATGTTTATCAACCTATTTATCAGCTCCAACAGATAGGGGGCAGATACCATCTTTCAGCCAATAATCTTTGTGCTCTTCTTCCTTTTGTTGATACTCAAAACTGCCTCCAGAAAAAGGCATGAATTACCCCACCCTTAAAAAAACGTATATTTATATGTAAAATGTTCAATGTTGTATATTTTGCTGTTCACAAACTTTGAGAACTAGTCGTCAAGTTCATAAATGTTACTAACTTCTTCTTCGGGGGCCCGCATGCCCTTTTCCATGGAGTGTAATCGGCCGTTTTAATTCTACATAGAGCGTAGAGGGACCGCTCTTATTCAACGCAGAGCGTGATTGGCGCATTTTGCGTAGAGCATAATTTGATTCGTTTCGTAATGTATTGTAGCTACCTGGAATTTATTGTAAAACGTAATGGGGAGGCTTGCTGAATTTAGCCGGTTCTCAATATTTAGCGTAGAGCGTTGTGGGACCCCCCCATGCAGACCCTCTTTTTGGCTTG